TAACCTGGCCATTCACCCAGGGAGATCTCAGCGGCCACACTTAAATGAGTGATAAAGCACGTCTGTGGTGCTGTTTCATGTGGGGGTGTTCTCCTTGGAGAAGACTATCCAATAAATAGCAAAAATCCTAGCACATATGACTCAGTTTACTGCGCAGGCTCAGACACAAGCATGTTATGCTCCGTGGTCTTTTTCTCACCTCGCAGAAGCTGAAGTGTTCCAGAGGAAACTTGATGAAACCACCAGGTTGCTCAGGGAGCTCCAGGAAGCCCAGAACGAGCGGCTGAGCACCAGGCCCCCACCCAACATGATCTGTCTCTTGGGCCCCTCGTACAGAGAAATGCATCTTGGTATGTTGCGTCTCCATAAGAGAAGAATTGGGGTGCTTAAAGGAAAAACCTTGTGAGCGGTAGTACTGGAGGGAAGACCATCAACGGCTTATTTTTTGTGTTATTTATTGTTTCTTTGATTTATTTTTATTACCTAAAGTTAGGACCACATTTCAATACGTGGAACTGTTTGTGATTTTCTTCTTTCTAGCTGAACAAGTCACCAATAATCTTAAAGAACTTGCACAGCAAGTAACACCAGGGGACATCGTGAGCATGCATGGGGTGCGGAAGGCGCTGGGGATTTCCTTTCCCTCCCCTGTCGTAGAAAACAACTTCGTGGATTTAACAGCAGGTATGTGCCAGGGGCCCCAGGAGATGGGGCATTGTGAGTCAAGGGACTGTCCATGCTCCCCATGCAAGAAACATTTGACAGTTTCTCTTTATGTTTCAAATAAGCTTCCTTTGGTTTTTATCCATTTGCCTAAAGAATAAAGATTTTTACATGCTTGCCAAAATAATTTTAAAAGCTACAGTGGTAACTGTGCACCTTTAACCCAAATGAAGTGCTATCTCTTTCCTTTCAGATTTTGAAGAACCTAAAAAGACTGATGTGGTTAAGTGTGGACCTGTTGGGATTTGAAGCTAAACGGCATTTGATTACATATTATGTATATATTTTTTTTCATTCTAAACTTGGAAATGCTTTTCAGAAGATATTAAATATTTGTAAATTGTGTTTTTAATTAAACTTTGGAACAATTAATTGCAGTATTCCAGAGATTTGCCTTCTATTAGGGAATGTCATCTCCCTCCAAAGCCTGGACGAGCAGCTGCGAGGGGTGCCTGGTGGCCAGCAGGTACACTCGGGAGCTGCCAGCATATAGGAGGGGCCCCTCCTGTGTGCACAGGGACATCCTAGGAACCCAGGGCATGGGACTCAGGGCAAGGAGTGCTCCCTTGTTCTGGAGACAGAGTACAGCCCCAGCAGGGCGAGCGTGCAAGACCAGGCACTCTGAAGGCCACTGGGCAGATCCTGCCATCTGTCCTCCAGGGCCAGTGAGCCAGAGGGTGCGCAAACCCAGTCACATTCCTAAGAGCTCTTGCCTCGAGAGCGGGACAGTGGAAGCTGCAGCTCTGTGTGTCCTTACCTTTGTTACAAGTTTAGCACATTGATCGGTGTCCAAGGGGCACCTTCATATGCAGATCACTTCTGCCATGTGCACTCTTGAGCGTGCACACCACAGCACTGACCACCTCGTTTATACAATGAAATGGAGCAACTACGATTTTCCTGTTAGTGAAAGAAAAAAACGTGGACTGAGCTCTTAAATGACAAAGAGTATTCTGATACCTGAGTTCTGTACCCAAATCCAATCCTGGGGTATGCCTGCTAAGCAGTGAACCCACAAAGGCAGTATCGCCTGCTCTGTCCATGTCCCTCTCTGGAGCAGAAGCCACTGCATCTACACTCACCTCTCCAGGCCCAGCAGATGCTGGGGTTCACGGGTGCAAATTGGAGGCTGTAGACCCAAGGCGTATTTTTCCACAGACTGTTAGAGTGGTTAGTTGAGCTCTGGGAGCACTGAGTTCACAGCCCGGAGGAATTTTAAGGGGCATTGTCTAGCCCACCAGAGGTGGGGCCTCCCTAGGCAGACCAGGCCCTCCTGGGAGCCACAGCAGCTGCCTCGTTGGTTTCTCAGAAAGGAGTCAGATGGGCATGTGGTGACAGCAACTCTAATAGCAAGTGACCTGAAACTTTAGCCGCCAGGCAGCAAGCAGTTTGCCCACCACCCTGGGCAGCATGGGGGGTAAAGGGAGAAGGTAGGGGCACTGAGGAAGGTAGCCAGCTGATGGTCTCAGGCTAGTCATATTTCTCAACTTGACATCAGAAGCTGCTGGGTGGGGAGCCCCGAGGCCTTCTTTTCTGATAAAGCCTTTATTGTTTAGAACTCTGGGAGGTGTTTGCCATGAAGAGCCTACAGCTGAGTTTCAGGGTAAAGGGACTGGCAGTGCCCCTCAATGACTGACATGCAGTGCTGGATGGACCCTGGCAGAACTGTTCACCAGACCAGACTTCCCAGTGTATCGTAACCCACACGTGTCTGGCAACAGAAATGTGCTGGTCACAGGATAACGGGGGGATGAATTATTTTAGATTGTTCACACCCAGAGTGCACACACTAGACCACCCCACGGAGCCTCAGGCAGGGCTCATTCTGTGCCTTGGTCTCCCTTACCATTCTTGGGCCTGTGTCTGATACAGTGCAGTGTTGAAGGTGGGGGGGAGGGTGACACTCTGCTCTGTACCCTGGCATCCTGCTGCAGGCCTGTGTCCCCAAGTTGTCCAGCATGAGCTCTGAGCAGACCCAACTCCCTGCAAGGGTTGTAAGTGGGGGCCTTGTTCTCAGGATTGGAAAGGAAACACTCATTTTCAGGAGAGTCAGGGCGCCATGGGATGACCCCTCTCCTGACCCTCCCACATACCCACCTCCCTCAGTATGTCTGGGAGAACCCGGATCCTGGCTCCACCTGCAGACTGGGGTTTTGACAAGAAGAGTCAGACTGGAGCCCCACCTGAGTGGCCCTGCCGGGGTCTGCACTTGAACTAGGAAGAGGGCTGCTGCGGTAAATCCCTCTGGCCTGCAGCCAGTTCTCCAGTAGGGCCTGGCTGTTCCCTCCTTGTTCTAGAGGTGGTGCTGGCGGAAATGGCAGAGAGGCACACCACCATGGGGAGGGTTCCCTGCTGCCCAACACTGGAGGCGTCAGTGTGGCTCAGTTCTGCTCCCTGCATCTTGGAGTGGGGACGATCCTCAGGCAAGCCTGGGCCATTGATTTCTGTGGCCACCGTGTAAGACAAGTCAAGCATTTGAACAACTGTAAATGCTAGAAATTGCAACGACGGGCATGTATTTATTCACTTAGAATAGGACCCACGGTTACTGCCTGGTAATGAATCATGGATTGTGTGGGGCTTTCAGCAATGTTCACACTTGTGTGCTCTGATTTCTCCTGCACCCAGTCCTTCCTGGACCTAAACCTGCCTGCGTCGCATCCTGGCGTGGCCTTTGGTGTCCAGAAGTCCAGTTCTGAGGCATGGGCTCCTGAGCCATGCAGTTGTGGCCCCACTAGGTCATGTGCTAAAACTATGTTTTGAGGTGGAGGAAGTTTCTAGGCTCAGCCCTCAGAACAGTGCTAAATCAAAGCTGTGTCCTGGTGCAGAAGGAATCTGTCTCCTGCACCTGCGATTGTCAGAAGGTGGGAACTGAAATAAATTATCTTTCAAAGAAAAAAAAGTCAGTCTGTCATTTCTGTTTTCACAGGTCTGTGACTGCTTTTTCTGGAATTGGCAATTATCGAGTGACATCAGTGGCTTTTCTAAGGTCAAAGTGCTGACGTCCCCCACAGGGGCTGGGCAACTGGCTTCTGTGCACATGAGTGTCTCGTGGGAAACTCTGGAAGGGCAGCTGTAGGTCGAGGGCCCTGAGTGGTCCCATGCCCCTGGAAGCGGGGTGGGTACAGGGAATGGCCCCGACTCGGCTGGATCCCAGCCCCAGCCTCCAGGATGTCTCAAAACCCTTCCAGCTGGAATCAGAAGCCTGCTTTTCCTGAACTGAAGCTGCCTTGCCTCTTGAACTTGGGGGATCTGGGGTAATTGGGGAGCCTGATTATAGCTCCTGCCTCACAAAACAGCTCACATTTAATCAGCACCAACTGTGTGCCAGGCACCAGGGGGCCCAGGAACAAAGAGTAAGTAAGGTCATTGCCATCAGAAACTGTAAGGGGGACAGGTGCGGCTGAGGCTGAAACATACATTTGTGTGTGTGCACATATATATGCTTGTGGAAAAGAGAGAAAGTATGTAGATGTGACTGTCATGCCCAATTTAGTCTGTGACATGTGACTTTGTTACTCAGTAGACAGAAAAAACAGGTATTAGCTATTTGTGGATTATCCTCCCTGGTGGAATCCCAGTGGATTCCAGCACCTTCCCTGAGGAGGTGCTGCAGAACAGGATTGGGGCAATTCAGATCACTGTGCTGAGGACACTAATCCTGCCGTGACCCCTTGTGGCAGATACTGTGTTCCCCACTTTGCTGATGAGGACATCATGGTGACTGCATCTTCCTCCACCTTCCCCACACCTCTACCTCCCTAGGTTTTTGCTGTCTCCTCCTCCAAAGTCATCCCTATACAGCAAGACCTGATGTCTGGGTGTTGTGTGTTGAAGTCCTAACTCCCAGCAGCTCAGAACATGACCTTATTTGGAGCCAGCCTTTGCAGATGTAGTGTGTAAGGATGAGGTCACCAGGGTGGAGTCCTCCTGCATGACTCTCTTCTTGCAAACTAGGGGATTTGGACTCACTCACAGTGAGGACACCGTGTGAAGGGAAGGCCAGGATGGTGATGCTGCTACAAAGCAAGGAATCCAAAGATGCCAGCAGGCCACGGGGCTGGAAGAGGGGCCTGGGCAGACCCTGCCTCAGCCCATAAGGGATCCCTACTGCCACCCTGACCAGACTTCTCCCACGCACGGGAGAGATGATTCTGTGGCTTAAGGCTGACCTGGGAGACTGACCCCCAGCTCTCAATATTAACATGGTGTAACACCCCGGGGTCCCCACCACGAGGTAGGAAAGCAAAGCAGCAAGATTGGGGTCAGGGGTCCCACATTTATTGAACACCTACTATGCACCAGGCACATTGATCTGCAACACTACCCGGGAGGTGAGTGGTGTTAAGCCTTTTGTACAGATGAGGAAACTGAGACTCAGGGGACACGTGTAGTGGGGCACAGCAGAGCTCTCCAAGCGTCCTGTGTTGACCCCGCTTCTCCCACTGTTCAGAAGACATCCTATTGATGGAGTCCCTGCCCCTGTACCCTCAGGTCCTCCACGGGGTCCTCCTCAGCAGAGTCATCCTCGCTGGCCTCCTCCTCCTTCCTCTGGCTCTGCGTGGTGCTCTGAGCACTCTGAAAGGAATCATCAGCACAGCAACAACATCGATGCCAGTAACAGTAATGGTGCCACCATAGTAATATTATTTCTTAAGTGCTTCTCATAGATTCATTCACTGAACATCACAAGCCTTTGAGGGGGTTACTTTATTAGCCCCCCTCTGCAGGTGAGACACCTAAGGCACAGGTAGGTTAAAGACCTTTGCCAAGATCACAAAGCTTGGGTTTGGACCCTGGTATTCAGGCTGGGGTCCAATTCTCCTCCAGAGAATTGTCCAGAAAGCCAGGAAATCCAGGCCACCCCTGCCTCCCCCACTGCACACACCACAGGCCAGCTCCCCATTCATGCCCCACTCACTGAGTGACAACCTGGCCTGACTGGCCCGAGGCTGCTTAGTTTTATTTACCCAGCGGGGCTCAACACCCAAGGGCTCTCTGCAGAAACATAATGTGCCTGATTCCCAGCCTCGCTGGGTGATGTGTTATATATAAAACACCACATTGCTGTGCTGAAATCCTTGGAATTCTTGACTTTTGGAGCTGGGAGGCAAAGCCTTCCACTGCATGCCTGGAAACAGCACAGGGGGCCTCCAGGGGATGCTCCTCCATAGGGAGCCACCCCCCAAACCCGCTGGGATATTGGGATATTTGGTTTATTGATTCCAGTTGAGGCAAAGTCTGCGTCAGGCCAGGGCAGCCCTCCCAGGTCGAGCCTCCTAGGTTGAGCCCTCTCCTCAGCACCCCATTCCAGGTCCAGGCTCTCAGCGACCCCTGCCTCTGGACTGCTGCAGCCAACTCCCCAGTCACCACCCTCTGTGCCAGCCGACACCCCCACCCCCACCCCACCGCCCCCAGGGCTCACCTGGCTGACGAGAAACCACGGGGCAGCCGGGGGTGGGCTGGTGCCGCGGAGTGGCCGGGCAGTGTCAGGCTGCCCACAAACATTCCGAGTCTTGGCTCTAAAGTCCTGGAGGGGCGGGGGGACAGGGTGGATGGAGGGATCAGGACAGGTGTGGAAGAAGTGTCATGGGAGGGAAGGTGGGACAAGGCCAGATCCGCCCTCACCCCAAAGAGAACAGGAATGCCCCACCTCCAGATCTCTCTCTAGGTCATAGTTCTCCAGCGTCTGGAAGGCACTGGAATACACCTCCACAGCCTTGGCATGAAAGACCATCTCAATGGTGACGAAGTCCAAAAATATTGTCTACGGAGAGGGAAGCCCAAGTTACATCCCCACACAGAGGCGGGTTTGGACCCTGACATTCAGGCTGGGGAGAGTCCTGGGATGGCCAGGATTCACTCAAAGGGGAGTCCTGGGGTGGCCGGGATGGTGGGCAAACTGGTATGTGGGAGGTGAGGACGGAAGGAGGCCTAGGTCAGTATGCTACATAATTTGAGCAGATACTGTATTCCCATGCAAAGCTGCCTGCACAGGGGTTGTTCTAGAAATGTTCAAGACTCAGTGAGGGGGGAGCATTTTCTTAGCTCTGACCCCTGGGCTCTTTAGCACCATCTGCTTCTTTCACTCCCAGGACAGGTGTTCACAGTTTGATGGCTGCAAAACCTCAGTCTGTCACCCATGGGCTGTGAGTGAATCTTTTGAGAGAAGTGTGTGTTGGGGTGAGCCATTGCTTAGCCCAGAGGCCCCACAGCACAATTTAGTGATAGAGATGTTGGCTGCTCTAGATCTGATGGTTTGTCTTGGCCCAGCACAGCAAGCTCTTCCAGATTAATACTGCTTGTCTGGTCCCAGAGGGTCTCCTGCTGTGTGCTGGGCCTAGCACAAGCTCCCACTGTGTGCAGGGACTACCATAAGCTCCTACTGTGTGCAGGGCTGTAGGGTAAGGTAAAAGTATCAGGCTTTTCTGCCCTCCCGCTATTAGGATAGATGACGGAACCCTGCGGTCCTGAATGCATGCCTGATGGCGGGCACCTGGAGTAGGGTGTGGGCATAGGTAGATGGGATTCACCTGTGCTAAGACTGGGCTTTTAAGGGTGGCGTCATGGGATGCCAGTAGAAGCAGAAGCAGAACAAAAGGAAGAGCAGAGAGAATGTGAGAGGCTGGAGAGCCAAGAGTGAGGACTTGCTGGGGCTGGGAGGCCTGCCAGCCTCCCGGCCCCCCAGCACCCCTGCCAGCTGTGTGTCTGGCAAATCCCAATAAAAGCCTGAAAACCGGGCCTCCCTGGTGGCGCAGCGGTTGAGCGCTGGGTTGCGAAGCTGCCCGCAGCCTCTGCAGCACTGGTTCGATCCCCGGCCGCCGGGCGAGGGTCCCACATGGTGCGCAGACCTCTCCTGCCGCCCGCTGCTCCCCTCAGCAGTGTACTTCGTCAGTCTGCCTGTTCTGTTCCCCGCTCTGGCTCTGGTGAATTCTCTCACCCTCCCGCTTCTGACTGTACCCAGTGCTTGTACAAATAAATAAATAAATCTTTAAAAAAAAAAAAAAAGCCTGAAAACCCACCCAGGACTCCCTCCTCCTTCACCCCATCTGCATAGAATCATAGAGAACCTGCACTGTGGCCCTTCCTGCCCCTTTTCAAGGGCCTGGCACAAACTCATACTGTGTGGGGGCCCTGGTGGAGGTGACAGCTTTGCTTTGCCCCAGCAGGACTCAGGCGTGGGGAGGGTGGGCAGGGGCCGGGAGGAAGGGGGTGGAGCCTGCAGTGTGGAAGCACAGCCCTTCAGGCAAGATGGGAAGCACCTGTGTGGGGCTCGGGCTCGGGGCTCGGAGGAAGGACCGTAGCAGCCTGCGAGGAGGAGGAAGGGGACAGGGGCCCAGGGCTGCAAAGACCTGCCTCCTGCCACCCCCGCCCCCCAGCACTGCTGGTAGCGACTGTGAAGAAGATGGGGGGCAAGGCCTCCTCCTGCCCCTCGCTGGCCTGAGGCCTGAAGTCTGCTCTCTGAGGCTTGGTCTTCCATCTGCACAAGCGCTGCCACTCGCACGGCGTGGATCTCGTCAGCGCGGCAGCCCTGGTCCCGTCACTCCTCAAGGAGCCCCCCTGGACCCCTGGGAGGAGACGCGGGGGCGCCCTCTGCCCCAGCTGCTGCCTTAGGTGCCCTCCAGGTGACTGGACGCGCCTCCAGCTCTGCCAGCACACGGTAGGAAAGCAAGGCTTGCCTTCTTTTCTAAGAGCCGTTTTGCAAATATGATCATTTTTCAGAAATGCGACCTAAAGGCCGCCGGTATTTTATCGCTTTGAAAATGTGGAGGGCTTGGGGGCTGGTTCGGGTCGGCGTCGCCTCCAATTTCACCCCAGAAGCTTAAAGGTCGCCCGTTCTAAACTGTGCGTCTGGCCCCGGAGCAGGAGCCTCGTCTGGCTCGAGGCCGCCCACGGGGCTCTGCTCGTCGGTGCTTGATTGCCGTCTGCTGGGGCCCTCGGCCGGTCTGCGTGAGCAAGCTTGAGTGCCAGCTGCCATTTGCAGTCATGAGTGCATTTGCCCGTTCGCTCATTCACCTCCCAAGTATTTACTGAGTACCAGCGAAGTGCCAGGCCCTGGACCTGGTGCCAGGACCCCACAGAGGAGGCTGCAGGCAGCCAGGGGCCTCGCTGTGCTGGCTGTGGTGCCCCCAGCCCCAGGCACTGAGTAGGAGTGTATTCACGGAGTGCTGGATTGGCAAGTGAATAACAGAGTGAGTTTGCCTCCCTGGGATAACTAACCCCCAGGAGCAGAGCTGAGCCTGCCCACGGGGGCCAGACGGCCTGAGGGTCCAGTGGTTTCCCTGGAGCAGGAGGAGGTGTTAACTCAGTGCACAGTGAGAACAGAGCTGTCTCAGCAGAGAGCACAGCCGTGCAAAGGCCCCCGAGGTCCAGAAGGGCTTGCTGCACTTGTGCGGGAGGGGCGTGTGCAAGACCAGGCTGCGGGGCTCACCTGGGGCTTGCAGAGGCTCAGGAAGGATTTGGCTTTTATCTGTAAGACCAGGGACCTGCAGGAGGGACGGATGGAGCCCCCTGTGTGAGGTTGTTCTTGGAATGTGCGTTGCATTTTGGAAAATAGCCTAGAGGGGCCAGGAATCTCCATGGTGAGCAGTCCCTGGGGACCCCAATTCCCTGGAACCCCCTGGCCAGAGCTGCGGCCCTGGGGTCAAGGTTCTGGTGGTGCTGGAGCCGGGGCAGGGGACAGAGGCAAGGGGGATGTCCTGGCTCTTCCTGGGGGTCCTGGTGTGGACAGACTCTGACAAGCTCTCTTGGTGGGGAGCTGGGCCTGGAGCTGAGGGGCAGGGCTACCGAGTGCTGGCTGCCAGGCGGGCCAGCTGGGCTGACAGCTGCCCCAGCAGCCGGTCTCCTGCCCCTGAGGCAGGGATTAGGCCAGGATTAACTGTGCCCGAGCCTGGCTCCCACAGTCATGTGGGCACTAGGCCACGCACATGCACACATGTCCGTACTCACGTCCATACCCGCATCCCGCATGTGTGCACACTCACAGCATGCTCATGTCTGACACACGCACATAGTGCCTACACACGCACACATACACAAGTACACATGTGCACGCCATGTGCATACAACCTCACAGTGGACACACACGCACTCGCGCATACACACACACACACACACCACACTGGCCACCCCTACCTGCAGGTCCTTCAGCTTCTGCTTCTGGAAGGCGTCCACCGTCTCCTCCAGCTGGCGGGTGGTGCGGCTGGCATCGACTGAGGCCCTTTGCACACTGGTCTCTGCCTTGAACAGGGGACATGGGAGTTTGAAGTGTTGGGGGTAATTTCATTCTGGATCATTCTCAACGCCCCTGCCCTTTGGGGCCGGCTCTCCTGTGTCAGCAGTGCCTCTTGCCAGTTTGATCATCAAAGGTGTGGCCTTGTGGCACCTTGACTAAAGGTGCAGGGACCGCCTGGGCAAACCTGCTTCTGGGCTATGTGACCTTGGACAAGTCTCTCAATGTCTCTGAGCTTTACCTGCCTTGCCTGTAACCTGGAGACAACAGGAAGACCAGCTCTGCAGGGCTGTTGTGAGAGTTAAACAGCTACTGTGCGCCCAGCCGCTCTGCCCCTTTGGTGATTACTAATCCCACGTGTGGATGGTGTTTGGGTGATTGACCCAGATAGGCTGACCCCACGCCAAGCCCCACATGAAGGACCTGGATCTTACAGGCACTGACTTCCGACTCTGCCACTTAACTTCCTGTGTGACCTTGGGCAAGTCACCTTATTCAGCCTCGGTGCCCCCTCCAGAAGTGCCCACCTAGTGAACAGGCAGCCCAGCAGGAAACGGCCCTGGAGGGAGTGGCTCGGCCAGCTGCTGCTTAGCACCCAGAGGGGCAGAACCAGGACCCCTGGCCCGCAGCCTCCCACTCTCCCTACACCTCCCACTCACCTGTCCTGGTCCACACACACCTGCCCAGGGGCAAGCTCACCTCACCGCCCTTTGCGAGGTGCTTCATTACCTGCATGCGGGTCAGGCCGACCTGTGGCACTCACCTGGGACTGCAGACCATGCTGTTAAGGAGCCCGGTGGACAGTATCCCTTTGGGGGCCCAAAGGGCTCTGTGACAAATGGCCACCCTCATCCCCGCCGCCCAGGCCCACTTCCCGGAAGGATACAATCATTTGTCTGTCTGAAGGTGACTTATGCCTCAGTTTCTCCAGTTTTTCCAGCTGTTTGATCTCGTTATTCTGGACACGTTTGAATTTCTTGATCTCTGCCTGCAGGCCAGGGAAAGACTGACTCCCAGGGACAAGCCCTGCTGCCCCCTCACTGTCCACCCTGCCATGCGGCCCCCCTCACCCGTGTCTGCTTTATCTGTGCCCCGTACAGTTTCAGGGGGTTGACGACCTTGGTCTCCAGTCTCTCCACCTGGGGGCACAGACACATAGAAAATGGGAACCGGCCGAGCCAGAGATGGGGGAGGCAGCCCAGCCTTGACTCTGTCTGTATACCCAGAGCTGCTGGGGGGCGGGAGGTCCCGGGGGGCCACTGAGTCTCAAGGCACATGAGCCAAGCTGACACTGAGTAAGTCCCCACTCTGCACCCAGCGCCATCTGGATCAGCAGGTAAAGGAGCGTCCCCACCCCACCGACATCTCCTCAAAGAGCCCATTGCCAGGTGCTCCAGGCCCCGCGCCCCCGTGTGAGTCCAGGAGTAGGTTCAGACCCGGGCCCAAGAACCTGCACTCTGACAGGTCCCAGGCGAGGTTACCCCCACCCCGGGGTAACCCCTGGCTAAGTTCCCTCCCCTGGGTAACTCGCCCTCCCTTTAGCCTGTGCGTCTCGGTGCCCACTTGACGGATGGGAGCAGGCCCAGGGCTTGCCCGTCCCGCCCGCTCCCCGGGCCCTCACCTCGGCCTGCCGGTAGTCCTGCACCTTGGCCAGGTCCTCCGCGAAGTTCTTCATGGCGGCCCGCATCTCAGGGTTCTCAGTGTTGGCAAAGTCCAGCAGCTGCTTGACCAGCCTGTCGGCCTTGTCCCGCAGCCGGGCCGTCTTGCGCGTGTAGGAGGCCAGCAGCGCGCAGAACTGGCCGAAGTACCTCTCGGCGTGGGTCACCGTGTCCTCCATCACCCGCACCTGGCTGTCCCTGGGGAGGCGGGGACAAGGGGCCGCTCAGGGGCAGGACAGGGGCCAAGCCGCCTGCCCCTCGCCCTCCTCCGGGCCCTGAGGGCGCTCAGCATCGGGGGGCAGGGCGGGCAGGGTCGGGAGACCGGCGGGCACCTATGAGCCTCAGCCTCCGAGCCCGGCCCTCCCCTGCTGACTCTGGAGCGAGGCCTGGGGCTCAGAGGAGTTCTCCATCAGCCCACCAGTCCCCCAAATTCCCCACTCTGCCTTTTCCCCAAGTGGTGGGACTCCTTTCCCTCTACTGAACCCTGAGGCTTTTAAAAACTCATAGACCCTTTGGGGAGGGAGCAAGCTGAGGGTTACAGGAAGGAGTAGGAAGCCCAGAGGGTCCCACAGACCCTCGCCCATCCCCCCTCAAGGGGCTGGACAGAGTGGGGTCCGAACGGCTCACAGAGGGGTGGTGCCCTCCAGGGTTTTGAGGCACGGCGAGGGAGTTTCCAGGTGGGGCCATCGGGGGAGGAGGGACAGACTCTGAATCTGGTGGCCACAGGGCCGCGGGCACAGATGCCAGATCTGCCACCCTCCCTGGCCGGAGTCCTGTCCTCCCCCAAGTTTGAGGTGTGGGTGGGAGAGCACCCTAATCACTGCCCCTCGCAGCAGTCTCAGCTGCCCCGTCTGCACCCCATGTGGTGTATCACATCCCCAAAGCCCCAGGTTCCCCCTCTGTGCCAGCTGAGGCCAGCACAGGGCCACTCACCTGGAGAGGACAATATTCATTGTGACAGGATGGCCGCTGTCCTGGGCTTGGGAACTGAGGACATGGCCCCAGGAGTCTCCCAGGTAGGGAAGAAGCAGGCAGCTGCGGGCTCCAGGGACGCTGCCACCTGGTTGCTGGGCAACGTGACCTCCCACAGCAGCTGGGGGAGGAGCCTCACTGGCAGCCTGGCAACCTCTCCCAGCCCTGCCCACCCAGGGGGCTAGAAGGCCTGGCGCTGCCCGGTATTGACCAGGGGGTCCCAGAGAGCCCCCTTTGTCAGATGGAGGTGCTGTGGGCCAGGCAGCACTGGGGGGCCCTGGAGGTGGCACCATTTGGATTTAGAGCTGTTGGCTGGGGTGCAGCCCTGGGCCCGCCTTGTTGATGGGTGCTGGGAGCTGGGGCTCCTCCTCTGGGAGGCTACCGCCCTTCCCCAGGGGTAGGGGCAAGCAAGTGCAGAGTAAACCTGGGGGCCTGGGCTCTGGGGCCGTGGCTCTGGGGCCTTGCAGTTGGATGGAGGGGGCAGGGCATCAGCCCACAGGAACATCGGATGCATTTTCACCACCGTTTTATTGTGCTCCCCCGCGCAGCAGACACTGCCTGCTCATTGTTAGCAGCATAGCACATGGCACAAAAGCAAATACAACAGCACCTTGGAACTGTGCCAGCTCAAGTACATCCTGCTGACTGTCAGGGCTGTCCCTCGAGGTGCCCCGCACTCTGCCGAGAGAGTAGAAACCTGGGGGTAATGGCAGTGCTGCGGAGGGGGCTCCGAGACCAACAAGAATAGCCCCGGACCCAGCGCCAGCCTGTTCACCTGAGTGTGTCTGGAGCTTTGTCCAGTGAAGCGCTTTGCTGGGTGAGCTGAAGTGCGCAGGGAAGCTGGGACTGTAGAGTCAGCTAAACTCAAGGTCAAGCCCCACCCCAGCCTGCTCTGAGAACTGGGGCAACTCTCCCCACCTCTCTGGGCACCTGCTGCTCCCCTGTACCGTGGGGTTGGCACAGTGTGTACTTCCTCAGTGTCAGCAGTTGTCAGTGCCTGGTGGGGTGGCAGGTGTCAGGGCACAGCCTAGACCCCCCTGTAGTCAAGCCCCAAATGGTGACACCCCCTTCCCACATTCTCTGTTTATCATGGACACGTTCTCTCCAGGGGGCCCTGGGCATGTGTCCCTGTGACTCCCCACATGGAGGCACTGAGTAGCCCTTGAGGCTTTGGTCCTCTTCGCTGTGTGAGGGTGGGGAGGGGTCTGTCCAGCAGCCATGGCTATTCCCGCATCACACTCCACTCACACCTCAGCGCTGCCACCAGGACCTCAGGCATCAGCTGGAGGTTACTGGAGGAGGTGGGCTCTGCTCTGATGGCAGGACCCTGGCAGGACGAGCAAACAGAAACACAGGGAAGGGTGCTGCAGCGCAGCTGGCCATATCCCAAGGGTGTGGCCACCAGCCCGGAACCTCCTTGAAGAGGTGGGGGAGCCTCACCTGAAGCCTCAGAGTGTGGCCTTGTGACTTCTGGAGTTTGGACTTCTGGCCTCCAGCCAGAAGAGGCTGAATCTTTGTGGGTTGAAGCCCCAGTTTTGTGGATATTTGTCACAGCAGCTCCAGGGCCCCCACCTGGGATCCCACAGCCTGTCTGGTCCCCCATAGCGGCCGGCTGTCCTGCCCAGCAGAATCTCCACATTCTTTAGTTTTCCACCCACCACCTCTCTTCTCCAGCTCAGAGCCTCCCTTTCCATTAGGACTGGCCTTTTCATGGCTGGTGCCTACCCCTTCTAAGGACCCCACTGGTTGCTCATTCCCTCATCACCAACCTTGCCAAGGGCTCCTTGGTGAACAGAGGTGCCAAAACAGAGGACGCCTCCCCTCAAGGCACCTTTGGTCCTGATCCCCAGGGCCTTCCCCTGGGATCTTTCTGGGTCCTTGGGCAGACAAGCCCATCTACTCTGGTCCTCCACCATGACCTGCTCCTTCAGGCTTCAGCACGAGCAGATCCCTCCTTGTTATGGAGACATTCCCTTTGTCCATTCTGTCTCCTCTCCTCTCCCCCTTCCTGTGTACTTTGCAAACCAGCAGACTTTCTTCTTATTGCCCCTTCCCCAGTCACCCCCATGTCACTACTCTGGTCCCCACCCTCTGCATCTTAACTCCTACCCCTGGAGGCTGCCCAGTTCCTGGCTTCCTCCTCTCCCCCTGGTGAGCCTGGGGTGGGGAGTGGAGAGGAGCCACTCCAGACCACACCTCCACTGAATCACTGCAAATACCCCACTGCTCAGGGATAGCCCCAGGAGGACACTGCTCCCATCCCAAAAACTCAAAATGGAATTTGGTGTCTCTGTAGTACCCCCAGACTTTCTCGACTCTGACCTTTCACAACTGTTTCACACTTGTCCTTGGGCCAGCAGTGCAAGCTTTGTCCTGTGCAGCCTTGCATCCCTCACTCCCTGCAATTTTGGAGAAAAGCTCTATTTATGCCCAGGCTCAAGTATATCTTTTTGTACAATGTCTCTCCCTCTCCCTTTGTCTCCGTCTCTGTCCAACTGCATTAATGACTCCTGCAGGCATTCTCACAGTAGTAGCAGCTAAAGTCTACAAGCCTACCAGGGACAACACTGCTCCAGCCGGGGCCTGAGCCATCATGTCTGTGTCACTCACTAGTCACCCTCAGAAGGGTGGGGTTCTCTTGTTTGTAAGCAGGAGTGGGAAGTCAGCAGCACAACATAATTTGCTGAAACTTTACTTTTAGATATAATCTTTTCCATTAACCAACCTTGAGGGTTTGTTTTCTGTATCAACTCAGGCGGGTTATGTTTTCCATTTACTTCATCAGACATGATTCTGTGTGCTGTGAAGATGTGTGGTGGAATTAGCAGCCCCAGTCTGTGGTTTTAAGTCAAGGAAACATTCTCCACAGCCTGAGTCTGGGTGAACCTCCCCAATCATGTGACAGCCTGCAACAGGAACTCAGGTTTTCTAAGATGTAGAAATTCTGCCTCCCACATGAGCTCCCAGCTCCCTTTGTAGATTGCAGTCTTCATTTCCTTAAAATAAATCTCCTGGTATATCCACTGGGTATGTTGTACTAAGAATGGGCAGACTGCAAACTGTCAGGTTCCAAGCCACTAGAGGATGGCACAGGCAGTTACAGGCAGAAGCCACTGGAAGGCAGTAGAGATCTGAACCTTTCTAAGACCCCAGTGGAGGGTGATGCAGTTACAGGCAGTGGCACCAGCACCCCCTCAAAGGCCCTGGAGGAAAGCAGTGCTGTTACAGGCAGTGACCACCAGAAGGCAGCAGAGACCTCAACTTTTCTAAGACCCTGCAGGAGGGTGTAGGCAGTTACAGGTGGTGGCCACCAGAGAGCAGCAGAGACACAAACCATTCTAAGGCCCTGCAGAAGGGGGGTGAAGTTATAGGCTGTGGCCACCAGAGGGCAGGAGAGACCCAAAATTTTCTAAGACCCTGGAGGACAGTGGTGCAGTTACAGGCATTGGCCACCGGAGGGCAGCAGAGACCTGAATGCTGCTGATACCCTGCAGGAGGGTGATGCAGTTACAGGTCGTGGCCACCGGAGGGCAGCAGAGACCTGAACTTTTCAGAGACCCTGCAGGAGGATGGTGCGATTACAGGCGGTGGCCACCGGAGGGCAGCAGAGACCCAAACCTTTCTAAGACCCTTGAGGAGGATGGTGCAGCTACAGGCAGTAGCCACCGGATGGCAGCAGAGACCTGAACTTTTCTAAGATCCTAAAGGAGGGCAATGCAGTTACAGGCAATGGCCACTGGAGGGCAACGGAGACCTAAGTTTTTCTGGCACCCTGAAGGAGGATTGTGCAATTGCAGGTAGTGGCCACTGGAGGGCAGCAGAGACACAAACCATTCTAAGGCCCTGCAGGAGAATGGTGCAATTACAGGTGGTGGCCACAGGAGGGCAGCAGAGACCTGAACTTTTCTAAGATTCTAGAGGAGGGCAATGCAGTTACAGGCAATGGCCACTGGAGGGCAACAGAGACCTAAGTTTTTCTGAGACCCTGCAGGAAGATTGTGCAATTGCAGGTATTGGCCACCGGAGGGCAGCAGAGACCCCCCCCCACCTTTCTAAGACCCTGGAGGAGGGCGGTGCAGTTACAGGCAGTGGCCACAGGAGGGCAGCAAACACCTGAACTTTTTCTGGGCCCCTAGAGGAGGAGGATGCAGTTATAGGTGGTGGCCACTGGAGGGCAGCAGAGACCTGAACTTTTCAGAGACCCTGCAGGAGGATGGTGTAATTACAGGCGGTGGCCACCGGAGGGCAGCAGAGACCCAAACCTTTCTAAGACCCTTGAGGAGGACGGCGCAGTTACAGGCGGTGGCCACCGGAGGGCAGCAGAGACCTGAACTTTTCTGGGACCCTGGAGGAGGCTACAGGCAGTTACAGGCAGTGACCATTGGAGAGCAGCAGAGACCGCCTAATGGACTATGATCAGGGAAGAGGGCCAGGAGGGCTGATGATCCCTGGGAAACACCAGAGGGTGTGCATTCCAGAAAAAAACCGCCTCGGGCAGAGCAGGAGCCAGAGCAGGGGTGGAAGAGAACCACTGGGGGCTTACTTCACCACTTACACACTTCGAGACTCTTGAAACACCACCTTCTATAGGGTCACACAGAAACCTCTAGTGGCTAGAGAGCAAGAGAAGCTAAGAGATGGGGGAGAGGCCTGAGGGCTAAGGAAGGGTCACAGCCCAGTCACCCTTTCCCTGCCCATGGACCCAGGGCCCCCTCAATCTGTCCATGACAGAACCCCTGTGCAATCCAGGCTGTTTAGAGTCTTTAGGCACTCCCTCCCTCCCCTCACTCTCGCCTCTGTAAATACATTTTTGCCAAACCTCATGAGAGTTGTGGACATCTTGACCCTTTGCCCAAAGTCTAGCGTGAGTCTCCAGAGAGTAAAGACATTCTGCTGCAAGCCTTCATGTGACACAAGCAGTACACCAGCTCCACTAGATGGATGTGCTGCTGTTATTTGCATCTCCCCTCTTGCCCCACTAATGTCATGATTGCTGGGTTGTCGCTCTGTCGGGACATGTGAGGGCTGTTCCCATCTAGTCTCTCCTGAGCTGCAGGCTGCCACCCAACCT